ATAACCTCATTAGAGGACTATGTGATATCAGTATCATTGTGGGCACCTTTACTGTTATTGAGCAGGTGCCATATGTATTTTTTTTTTTTTTTTTTTTTTGGTCAGCTGGCTATATGGAGGTCCAAACACTTGACTTTGGTGTTATAGCACCACACTCTAACCAACTGAGTGAACTGGCCAAGCCTCTTTTCACTTTTCTGATCTTTCATAAAATACTAATTATTTTTTACTTAAAAATGATATGAAGGGAAGGCATTTTTGCTTCTGAAATTGTAAGAAACTGAATCCAAAACAGAAAAATTTAAAATCCAGACACTGCTGTAGCTAGAGCAGCCTCTCCCCTTTTTTCACTGAAATACACTGGTTTTGAGCTAGAGGACACCATGTAAAAGAAAAGGCAGTCCTCTGAAAGCCGAGGGTGAATCAGAGGGACTCAGGGGTATGGCCTTCCACAGGGATACATTGGGGAACTGTATTAAAACCCGGAAATAACTGGTTCATTTTACAAATAATTAAGGTGGGAATTAGAAAGGTTAAGTGTGTTTCCCAAGATTACGGAATTGTTTTCTATTGGATCCTGTCTTTGAGTCTTAGGCCTATTCAATCCCAAACTAGGACTACCCACTATACCAAGTTGCACATTCTCAGATCAGCTCTGAGCCACTAGCCTTCTGATCTTGACTAGGCAAATCTTGACATACCCAGGCTGAGCAAGGAGCAGGGTGTGCTTTTCTGAGACAAAGACCTGGAAAAGACAGCAGTGACTATATCAAGTTCTCAAACATGGAAAATGGTAACTTCTTTTACAGGATTGATAAGTTCAAATTGCTCTTCCTTTCTGCTAAATGTCTCAAACCTGAATAAAAATTCCAAAATTCTATTATTACTATAGCATGTTATGTATTGCAACATACTTAATATGGTAATATTAACAGAAAATATTTTACAATAATGAAAGGAGTAGTAACGATAGTAACATTTCAAAATAAACAAGCTGTCCTCCTCCCACTTGAGCTCTTCAGTTTGCCCACATGTAAAATAAACCTAATGAGAGCTTCTGGAAAACACTGTAAATAATTGGTGGATGACAGAAAAAAGAAAAAAAGAATGNTATGAAAAAAAGCTTATCATCAGACATTAGGAAATTGCAAATTAAAAACACAGTGAGATATCACTGCATTCCATTAGAATGACTATAATTTAAAAAAGAAAGAAAATAAGTTTAAGGAAGGATGTAGAGAAATAGAAACCCTCATATATTTTTGGTAAAAATGTAAAATGGTAAAACTGCTTTGAAAAACAATTTTGACAGTTATTTAAAAGTCATATTTACCATATGACTCAACAATTTCACTCCCACGTATACATCCAAGAGAAATGAAAACATATATCCACACAAAAACTTGTACATGAATATTTGTAGCAGTATTATTCACAATAACCAAAAAGTGGAAACCACCCCAATGTCCATCAGCTGATAAATGGATAAACAAAATGTGATATATCCACACAATGGAATATTATTCAACAATGAAAAGAAACAGGTTTCTGATACATGGGTGAACCTCAAAAACGTGATGCTAAGTGAAAAAGGCAGAGGCATACTGTATGAGTCCATTTAGATGGAATGTCCAGGAAAGTTACATTTGTAAAGACAAAAAGCATATTGGCAGTTGCCTAAATTAAAGCTGGGGTTGGGAAAGGAGACTGACAGCAAATGGGCACAAGAAATTTTTTTTGGAATAATGGAAATGCTTTAAAACTGGATTGTGATAATGGTTGCACAACTCTATTAATTTACTAAAAATCACTCCGTTGTATACTAAAAATAGGTAAATGTAAATTATATAAAGTATGCTTCAATAAAGATATAAATCAAAAATCAAAAGAATTTTAAAAGTCACATCTATTTTCATTTTTGTGTTCCTCAATCCTCATCCCTTCTCCTACCTTGTCCACCCCCAATTCTCTCCCACAAAGATGTCTGTTGATAGATAGTTGGCCAAAGGAGTGATTCACAACCTATGGTAATTAAAGTGCTATAAGGGACTTTGTCCAAATCAGCATGGAGAAAAGTTTAACTTTAAAAAAAAAGTTTTTTTTAGTGGAGTTGGAGAGGGAGAAATCAGGAATTTCTCTTTAATCAGGAAAGGATGATTTTCTAGCAAAATAACTGGATAATCCTCACAATTTTTTGTTTAGATAAACCATTTTAACAGGCCAGCTACACTCCTGTGCCCATGATAAGGAATTTCAGGATCTGAGGATCTTTCAGAAGTCTGTCTTTTTTTTTTTTTTACCCTAAAGCTCATGTGGTTTTACTCCAATAATTTGGTCTTCTCACTCTAACAATTTGGCCAGATAACCTCATTAGAGGACTATGTGATATCAGTATCATTGTGGGCACCTTTACTGTTATTGAGCAGGTGCCATATGTATTTTTTTTTTTTTTTGGTCAGCTGGCTATATGGAGGTCCAAACACTTGACTTTGGTGTTATAGCACCACACTCTAACCAACTGAATGAACTGGCCAAGCCTCTTTTCACTTTTCTGATCTTTCATAAAATACTAATTATTTTTTACTTAAAAATGATATGAAGGGAAGGCATTTTTGCTTCTGAAATTGTAAGAAACTGAATCCAAAA